TAATTCCTGCTTTTATTTCCTCCCCCCCTCTCTTTTTTCCACTGGGCATAATTTGGGATGTATTTCATAAGTGTCTGTGGTGCTTGGCACAGCTTAAATAAGTGATGAGAAGGCACCAATCTTCTGATTGCAGAGTTTCTAACGATGGCAGTGATGAAGTAAAACGGCTCCAAAGCCATGTCAGGGTGGCTTTTAAGGCAAGGAAATGGTGACAGGAATAAGGAGTGGGTGTGGAATTAGTAACATGAGCATTCCAGGGGAACTAAAGCCATGAATCCGAGCTCTGCTCCTCTCTGGCTGAGGGTTCGTGTTTCCACTCGGGTTAAATTGGTCGAGTTTTGGGTCAGGTTTGATCAGGGAGAAGGGGAAGTTTGTGGTTTATGGTGTCTAGACAGATACTGAGATATATTGATAAGTGCACCATTAGCCCCCCCTCCCCTCCCCCTTTCCTGTGGGCTTTGTCCTGCTCAGCCCTGCAGGAATCAGCCTCAGGAATGAGGCTCCTTTTGGCACAGAGGGGTTAAAACAGGACAAATCGTGGCTGAGAAGTTCTGGAAGGTTTAACTAACCCAGGCTCCTGATGTGTCCTACAGCCCCCAACCCTGCAGTCCAGTGGTTCTCCTTCCCAGCACCTCTGGGGCAGCTCATCCCCGTTGAACTGCCCTGGATTTGGGGCAGGAAGGGAGTGGTTCCAGCAGGGCTGCCTGAGGTCCCCTGTCCTCGTTTGGAGATCTTTCCCTGCTGATCCTCTGCAGTGGATCATCAATATTTCAGGCTGATTTTCCATGCAGTACGTGCCTGCAGCACTCAGCTGATTCCAGCATGAAAAATTCACGGCAAATCCAGAGCTCTGGTGATGGGGGGGGTGAATTAGGGACCCACTGGGGCTTCTCTTCTCCCCAGGAACGAGCCCCAGGACAAAGAGCAAACGGCCTCAAGCTGTGCCAGGGGAGGTTTAAGTTGGATATCAGGGGGAAAATTCATGGTGGAAAGGGTTGTCCTGCCCAGGGAAGTGATGGAGCCCCCATTCCTGGGGGGATTTAAAAGATATGGCACCTGGGGACACGGGTCAGTGGTGGGGGATGGTTGGACTTGATGGCCTTAGAAGGCTTTTCCAACCCAAATGTTACAACAATTCTCTCTTTCCCCCCCCTTTTTTTTAAGGACTTGGAGCTGTTCTTTGTTTTCCTTTGCAGGGTCTCAGCTTAGGGATTGTCCAACAAAGATCAATCCCAGCAAAGCTTCACTTCCCGGGTGTTGAGAGGTGGCAGCATCAGGGGTTTTCTATGTATGTGCTTTAGTGTTGTTACTGCAAGTCATTCTTGGTATTAAAGCCTAAAACCCCACAAAGCCAGGCCCCTTTTGTAGGATCACAGAATTATTAAGGTTGGAAAAGACCTCCAAGATCATCAAGCCCAGCCTTTGAGCAAATCCCACCTTGTCAGCTGAACTATATCCCGGCCCCCAGAGCTTTGTGGGGGCACAAAAAAGGGAGTGGGGACCCAGAGAGGTGCCCCCAGCATGGAGGGGTTCCATAACTCACCCCAAAAAAGGGGCTGCAGCCAGTGGGGGCTTTGAATTTTGGGGGATGAAAGACAGGGAAAGGAAGGAGGACGCAGTGTCCTTGTTGTGAACATGAAAAGCTGGATCCCAGGGAGCTGGAGGCTGGAATTGGGTTTCCAGGTGAGCGAGCTGAGCCTGCTGGGCGTGTGGAAAGTGCTAAAACTCCTCTGGAAAGCCAGACCTTGGTTGCTGCTGCCAAGGAATCTGGTGTGGGAGTCAGTCCTGGAGAGTGGGAAAGGGGCTGTTTCCTTGGAGTGTGGCTCAGATGTGGGAATTTCCTTGCTGTCCTCAGGTGTGTGCTGGGAGTGAAGGTGTCTCTGCAGGGAGTGAGTCACGTCCTGCTCCAGCACCTTAACAGGGAGGCTCTGCCATAATTTGGTTTTCCCTCTCCATCCAAGTCATCCCGTGGGTTTTTCTCCCGTGGAGCCTTTCACGAAGCCTTGTCACGTTGTGGGGCTGGGCAGGAGGCGTTTTTGGGTGACCTGATTTGGGAGGATGTTGGATGTAGGAAGGTCTCTGCAGCGCTTTGCCGTGACGTGGGCGCCGCTGGGACCCGGGGACGGGAGGTGGAACATGGAAAATACATTTCTCCAGTGCACTCCAGGACACGCAAAAATAAATCCAGGGCATGGCAGGGAGAGGCTCATTTCTCCCTCCGTGTACTAACAGGTGTAAGAAAGATGTTTTCTGTCTCTGCAGCCCGGGGTGAACACACCTGAGCTCTGCCCTCACCTGTTCTCACTCTTGCTGGAGATGTTCTTCATTCTTTCACCACTGTTTTTGCCTGTTTAAGGAGGATTTTTGCCTCCATTTCTCCTGAACTGGGGTTGTTTTTATTGTTCATCCTCTCTCCTGGTGCTGTGCACTCCTATTTTGTCAGGATGTGATCGAGGTTCCCCCCCTTGTCCTGGTGCTCACCCCAATCCCATGGAAAGCACTCTCCCTTTTCTAACAGCTCTTGCAGACACATCTATCAATATTTCAGCCTCTGCTCTTTTTCCCTGAGACCTTCTAAAGGCCAGGGCCACGTCTTTGGTGGAATTATTTATGGCTCTAATGTCAGTAACAGCCTGTTAATCTCTGCCACTTTTCTGGGTGGTTTTAAAGTGATGAGGGACCAGGAGAAATGCTGGCACCACCCTCCTCCTTTCCCAGGGCCTCCCGTTTCCTCGGCACCAGAGGAGGATTAGAAGCATCCAGCAATGCCACATTAATTAATTAATCAATAATCTGATGGTTAATGGCATTTCTCAGCCAGAGGTGGCTGATGGCTGAGGTTCACACTTCAGCACAGGGTAGGATTATTCCCTTCCTCAGCGCCAGGACTTGGACTGGATGATCCCTGTGGGCCCCTTCCAACTAAGGATATTCCATATCCTATAATTCCTGAATTATCAGCCAGTGGCAAAGGCTGCCATAGTAAGAACCACTTGCTTTTGTAGCCCTGGAGACCACCAAGCTCAGTTTGCTGGTGGACAACCACCAAAGGTCTGAGTTCTCAGGGACTGTCAGCAGGGGAATCTTCAATATTTCCAGGAATTCCCACTGATTTGCACATCACAGGGTCCGGCCTGAAGCCTTTTATTCACTCCTTTGTCAAGAAGCAGACGATTTATGCGCTGCTACGAGGCAGGGGGAAGCAAAAGCAGGAAAAAAAAATGCTTAATTCCAAATCCCGGGGGATTTTTGTGATTCATGTCGGTGAGGGCTGGGAGGACAACACTCGGTTTTCTGGGCAGCGAAACCTGGATCGATGAAAAAGCTTCCTCTTGCCCGTGAGGAGCCCCAGAGCAGGTCCTGCCTGTGGTGTCACGTTTGGAGGGTTGGGTTCAGCCTATTTATGAGCCGTCTGGTGCCTCTGTGTCTGAAACCCTGCCCGGGCTCCAGCTCCGTGTCCTTGGCGGTGTCTCCTGGATGTGCAGCCCAAGGTCGGAGGGTGCTGGAAATGCGGGATGGATTCGTTGGTGATCCCACAAGACTCCCGTGGTCCGTGTCCCATTGCCCTCTAACGGCCAGCGCCGAGTTTTGCAGGGCAAAGGGGACAATTCCCAGCGCCGGGGAGAGGAACCGCCGGGGAATTCAGCCACCAGAGCGTGGCTGGTTTGCGGGGAGCCCCCAAAAATGTTCCCGGTGAAATTTGGGTTGGGGGGGGCCAAAGAGCACCAAACTCAGGGAGGGGAAAGAGGGAGGAAAGAGGGTGGGAAATTGGAACGCAGTTGTGGATTGTCCATCCCTGGGAGTGTCCAAGGCCAGGTTGGAGCAGCCCGGGATAGTGGGAGATGTCCCTGCCCGTGCCAGGGGGTGGCACTGAGTGAGCTTTCCCAACCCAAACCATTCCAGAATTCTTTGGTTCGACGAATTCAGAGGTCGGAAAGCAACGGGGAAAAAAAAGCCATTTTTGTTTCCCCGTGGAATTGGGGCGGAGTGTTCACTCACAGCAAAAAAATACAGCCCCCAAAACCAGCAATAAACTGCTTTTCTCTAGGGCTGGGAGCGAGGGAAGGGCCTTGTGGGTCCTGCACAGGAGGTTACCGATATATTATGGATTTTTAAACCCTTTCCCTCTTGCAGTGGAGGGTTTTTAACAGCAGATGTCACGTTTGTATAACAGACCAAGAGACTGGGCAAACCCGGGGAATAACGACGTGTTCTCCAAGGCAGGAGGGGCTGGCACCTGTCCTGGGCTCTTGGGGCCAAGGAAAGCTGTGTATATTCCAGATATAATTTATTACTACCCCTGGGTAACAATAAATTATATATAATAATAAATATCATAAATATACATTATATAATAAATTATATATAATAATAAATTATTGGGGAATAATAAATTTTATATATAAAATAGATAGATTTTCCCCAAGTTTCTGCTTCAAGTCGCTGCTGAAAGTGGATCTTTGGTCTGTGGGAGGCACTGGAAGGGCTCAGGTATTTGGGTTTCTGCAGGAGAAAAGGCAGCCCAAGCTCCCTGGTTTGGGAGATGAATCTTAGGAAGATAATGAAAAAATAGCAGTTCTCTATTGCTGCAAATCTCTCCGTCCTTGGAAAATTCTGGAGTGCTCACAAAGTTTGGAAAGGGGAAGAAATAGCTTTTTAAGATGGCAGAAAAGTTGGGATGGAATATCTTATCGTTTAAATTCTCTTTATAATTTTAAATATAAGCTCGTTCTAATTTAAATTATAATTTAATTAACTTATAATTTAAATTTATATAATTTAATTAAACCATAATTTAAATTAACTGGCTAACTTGGCAGTTTTGACTACACCTGTGAATACTCCTTTTTGGTTAAAACTGGGAATTTTAGGGATTTGGCATTGTTACAAATGGTCCCACTTTACATGAGTTTTCATGTGCAACTGATGGCTTTTAAAAAATACAGCGACTTTTTAGAGACTCTCATTTAGAGAGAACACTTTAATACAGAAATCTTTGTATATACATTAATTACAGCTCATAAAAAATAAGTTCTGAGTCTTTACACCGCAGTCAAACACAGATACGGGTTCAAATCCATCCCTGACTCAAATAAAGCAGCAATAATCCAAAGCAGAAGAAAGCTCTGCTCTTCCAGTAACGTTTATCCTAATCCAAAATCCCACCTCCCTCCTCCAACCAGACTGGAATTCCATCACACTCGTGTTTTGCAGGGGTTGGGAACCTCAGACAAAGCCCAGCCCAAGAGGAGAAATCGGAGTTTTATCTGGAATTCTGGATCAGAGAGGGTGGGGCTGAAGTGTGAGAGCTCAGGGAGGGTCACTGGAAACAGCAGAAATTTGGGAATTTGGCTTCTCCAGCGAAGCCACTGTGCCCAAGGGCTGGAAACAACCTTCCTGAGTCACAGTGTGATCAGCTGGATCCATGTTCTGACTCTGCTCCTGCTCCAAACCTAAACCCAGTTCTCGCTGGAAACTCCATAAAATCTTGAGTACTTTGAATCCAGGGCAAGTTCCTTTCTCCCTCTTTTATTTTTCCTTAATTTTCTCTCTCTCTCTCTTTTTTTTTTTTTCTTCTTCTCCCCTGGTAGAATTTTTGCTCTTGAAAAAAACATTTCTGGGAGCTTGACCTTCCAACCCTGGATGCCGAGCACAGGGATGCTCCCAGTGCCAGTGGCAACAGCACCATTAACAGCAGTGCCAACAGAGCCATCCCAGCTGGGCAACGTGCCCAGAGTGATGCCAACAGGGCGGGGGGGATGAGGGACCCTCGGGAATGAAGCAGAGTGGGAAAACTCATCCCCCAAAACCAACCCCTGGTTCCCAGGAGTGACCCCACAACAACTCCCCGGGGGGAGCTCAGGGAGCACCAAAGGGAGGGTGGGGAGTCCTGGAAGGGAGGAATCCTTGGATGTTGGTGGAGCTGAGGGGCAGGGAAAGGACTGAGGGAGGGGTTTGGTGGGGCTGCTTTGCTGGGTTTCCCTGTCCCAGGGCAGTGGAGCAGCTGGAGCTCCATGAACTGGCACAGCCGGAGCTCTGGAGCACTTGGAGCAGCACTTGGAGCTCCTGAGTCTCTCCAGCTCTCCCTGCTCACCACAGGGATCTTGTTTAACAGGGTTACTGAGAGAATCCCATCCCAAAGGATCATTCCAGACCCGTTTCCAGTGTGTCACCTCACTCAGGTCATGCCTAGTTCAGACCTCGAGGACACCAACTCCTCCCCAAGGGTCAGGGAGGGTTTGTCTTTCTCCAGAACTGACACTTCTGCAATGCAGGTTCCATCCCAGACCCCTGGAGGAGCAAATTTGTTCTTCAAATTTGTTCTTCCTTTGCACTGATTTACTCCCCAAATCCCTGTTGCTTTGAACTCCCTGTGCTTTTGCTGCTGAGAGGGACACGTGAGGGCTGAGAGGATTCCTTGGCACAGATGAAGAGTGTCTTGTGCAGTTTAGGATGACGTGTGAAGAAGGTCTGGTGCGTTGTGGAGGAAGGAGAGGGGCTGGCAGAGATCCCAAAATGGAGCCAAACCAAGGTAACAGTTCACATTCCCTCACCCCCTGGGCTCTGTGCCCAGAGGAGCAGTGTGGGTGCAGCCACTCCTTGGGTGCTGGCCCAGGAGCTGGGATGTGTTCAGCAGCTTTGGGAACTTACTCCCAGTCTACACCTCAGTGCAAAGAGTGACTCTGCTTCGTTTCCTCTTGGGCAGCAGCTCTGTGTCATCACCAAAATGTTCCTCCCTGCTCAGAGTCCAACCCTTTTCTTCCCAAGCAGCTGCCAGTCCGTTGTTCTTGTTGGAAGGAGAAGAGGAAGATGATCCTGGATGCCTTTGCCAAAAGTGGAGGAATGGAGGGGCAAGCAAGTTGTCCCTGAAAACATCTCCATCCAGCCCTGGGTCAGAAACTTCAGACTCGGGGATTCATTGGGGGTTTTAAAGCCTGGGTGGAAAAGAAGGAGTTAAATCAGAGGGTTCCCGGGGCTGTTTCAAGGAATTACATCCCAAAGGAACTGCTGTTCCCGCTGGAACTCGGGTTACCTGTGCTGGAGGTTTGCCTTTGGGGACTGGGAGGTGAGGGGGTTTCCTCTCTGGTGCCTGGAACAAAATGCAGTTTAAATGTCACTGGGTTTTCCTGCCTGAGCAGCTGCAGAACCTCCCCAGACCTCGGGTGTCCTCATGGATTTACCACAACATTTCCCAGTGGAAATGCTGCAGGGGAAGTGGATTAATCTCTCCACGTACCAAATTACCACCAGCCAAGGGGGCAGATCCCTTTCAGAAGCCACTGGGCTGTGCTTTTGCTGCTGAGGGGGACATGTGAGGTCTGAGAGGATTCCTTGAGTATCCAAGAGTGTCTTGTGCAGTTTAGGGTTATGTGGTAAAAAAAGGTGACTCTTTACTTAAAGAATCTGTGGTTTGAATGGCTGTGAGTTTTAATTTTTATATTAAATCACGGTCAGAAACTGAAAAATACTGTTTGGCACCTGATAATCTTTTGCTACTCAGAGGAAATGTGGGAGAAGTGCAGGGCTGTACTTACAAACTTCTCCTCTGGGTGACATGAGGCTGGTTTGGTGGAAGGAACAGGAGGTGGGGGACCTTTAGGCCTCAAGGCAGGCTGGAAAAAACAGAACAGAAAACATATTGGCTCTCTACACACACTGTGCATGCCCGTGGTCCCACGGGAATGTGGCTGTGCAGGAAGTGCTGCCTGGCCCTGAGAAATCCCTGGGCTGGAGCTCAGGGATTGCCCAGCCTTTGGGAGCTGGTTTGGGATGGGATGTCCTCCCCAAAGCCAGCAGGGAAGCAGGGACATTCCCTGGCAGGACTTACAGTCTGGAGCTGGGGTTTGTTCTCCTGAGGTGGAGGCACAGGGAGCAGGAGTTTCTTCCCATCCACCTGCAAACAGGGAACAGTCCCGTGGGATGGAGCCCTTGTCTCGTGTGTTGTCTCCCTGTGTCCCTTTCCTGTCACCCAGGTCACTCAGGGGCTCAGCCCCACGTGCTTTCCCCACTCCCAACCCACTGGCATTCCCAGCACTGCCCTCTCAGCCCTGGAGAAGCATTTGGGACCCTGGAGGAAGAGGAGCCCACTTTGGCTGGGGGGTTTTGGTGGCTGGGACAGTCCCAGACAGACCCAGCTGGCCCAGCACCCCCCTGCCCTCACCTTCTGGGCAGGCACTGCCAGGCCTGGGGGTTCTCTGCACCTCTCCTCTTGATCCACAAACACTTGGTTGGTGGCTCCAGGTCCACTCCTGTTCTGGTGGCTGTAAAATATTTCATATCATGGTAAATCTTACCTTGACTGAAGTAAATAAACTTGCAGTTGAATGCCTGCCTTATTCCCAGTGGTGTTTTATAGCCATGGCCCTGCTTTTTTATTGTATTTATTAAGGATTAATCTTGATTAATTTGATTAATCTCGCGTTTCAAATCTTCACTCCTCTCCCAAATATGAGAATTCTGAAGCAGCTCAGCAAAGCTCAAGGAGTTCCTTGGCTTTTTGGTTTCTGATTCCCCCCACCCCCTTTGAAAACTGGAAGTTAAACCCATCCAGGTATTCCATGGCTTTGGTTTGGGGGTTTTTTCAGTCAGTGGGGAAGGATTTACCTCTCCTTGGCCACTCGGAAGCGGATGAGCAGCACTGCTGCAGTGGCTGTGACAGCCAGGACAGCCAGCACCCCAACCACGATGGCAATGCCTGCCAGGGAGAGACAACAGACACTCCTTAAACATCCCAGAATCCTCGAGCTTGGACAGAGATCCAAGAGATCCACTGTTCTTGACAAGTCTCCCATCACCACCACTGGCAAAGGAATTTTTTTCCCCAAGGTCTGGACCCTGTTTGTCCTCATTTTGTGGCTTCTTCTTCTCCTGTCACAGATGGAGATGGTTTTGCCAGATTTGAAGCCTGTGCAGGGCTAAGCAAACCCTGAACAATCCCTGTCCTTTCCATCCAGCCTCAAAGATCCTTTGGCTGTCACTCCTCTCCTCTGCCTCCAAAAGGTGTTATCCAAAATTGCATTCAAGTGAGGTTTCCTTCACAACTGTCCTTCAACCAAACCCTGATGTTCAGAGCTGATGGTGCTCTGGGGAGTGTGGGGAGAGGACAAACAGATTTATATTACAAACAAAATAAAGGCTGGTTGGTTTTGTTCCCAGACAGATGGAAATCTATCCACAAAGTCTTTTCCTTCAGAGGTAGATCCGTTAAAGACCAGCTGCCTGCAGATGATAAAGGAATTTGTCCACCTCCCTCACAGCAAAGCCTGTGGGATCTTGGCTCCCCTCTGAGGTGACAGTGAGCTCCTTATCCCAGCATGGAGAGGGGAGAAGCTGCTCCCTTCCTGTCAGCTCAGAAAGAAAAGTCCTTGCTCTGCTCGTTCCTACAAGCAGCAGGGGCTTCAAGATACTCAGAAATCACCTACCCTGATATCCAATATTTGCAAAGAAATGGGATTTTAGGTTGGATATCAGGGGAAATTTCTCCAGTGAAAGGGGTGTTAAGGCTGCCCAGGGGAATAGTGGAGTCCCCACCCTTGGAAGTGTTCAAAAAACCTGTGGGTGTTCCCCATTAGTGGTGACCACGGGGGTGCTGCTGGGGGATGGTTGCACTCCACGACCTTAGAGGGCTTTTCCAACCTCCACAATTCCATGAACCAGGCTGGCCCCCAGTGCTGGGCTGTCTCCCTGGAGTTCACTGGTGGCTCCCAAGGTGTGGCCGTGCAGCACTTACTGGTGAAGGCTGAGGAGCTGTCACAGGTGGGTGGGCCCCATCCTTCCTCACACTGGCACTGCAGCTCGTGGTCACACACCTGGGGAGCACAAAGACCTTCAGCTTGGGAGTGGGAGTGAATTGGGATGTCACTGGGTGGCTCTGGTGAGTCTGTTGAAGCTCTCAGTTTAAAATTTGGCTCGGAGAGGAGCAGTTTTGGGGGTTAAAGAGCCCTGGGGCTCTGCTGGTGTGCAGGTGAGAGCTGCAGTACAAGGCAGGGTTAACCCACACATCTCTAGGTCTCTGAATGGCCACACATTATCTTCCCAACCCCAAAATGACCTAAAAGAGAAGAGCTGTGGTGCTGTGGCTCAGGGGCAGGGCCAGACACAGAGTCTGTGTCCACCTCTTGTGGTCTCCTTGGTAAAAATATCGATTTTGTCTCAGTTTAGATTTGCTTTCATAAAAATATAAGAAGCTTCTGCCTCCCCAGTTTTTACCAACTCCCATCCCAGTGACTTAAATACCCTCAGCAATAAGGTCTGCAGCTGATATGCATCATTTTAAAGTGAATAGCATCAAATCTCAGATCTTACAGCGTGTCCAGAACACTTGGCAGAGCAGTTGGTCGATCTAAAGACCTCCTCAGTATAGACACACTCTCCGTTGCTGCACACCTGAAATGAAAGGTTCCCGGAGGGATTCAGAGCTTCCAGAAGGTGCAGAGCTGGAATATGATCATGTGAAGGAATGAAGGGCACGAGGAGACGTGGGAACAGTTCTGCAAATCACCTAAACCCACCTTAGGGGGTTGATATTTGGGGATAATTTTTCATCTGAGCTTTGGGTGTTTTACAGCAAAGGGGAGTGACAAAGATGTACAGACACCCCTCCCCTTCCAAGAAGAAAATTGGGAATAGCACTTAGAGATTCCTGGCACATCCATGGTGGGAATCACTAAATGTAGTAATAACATTTATGATCTTCTATATAAAACCTTTGTACAAAGGGGTCTTTCTGTTGCCACGTATGTTTGTGGCAGGAAAAAAATAAAGGGACAGCAGCCAAGGCACAGGAATTTGGAATCATGGAAGTTCCTGTTTGCTTTGCTGCTGGTTTGGGGTAGATGTAGGGAAAACCAGCAGAAGTCTGGTGTCAGCTCAGCCTTGCCTGTTTAAAGTTATCCTTGAGAATGAGCTAAGACTGAAAGAGGAGGAAAAAACACGGAGAAAAATTATTCCCTACTAACCATCCCATTCCCGCACTTGGTTCCATCAAGAATCATCCCCAGGTCCTCATCATCTCCATTTTTAGGAAAACTTGCTTTGCAGGAATTAACAGTCACCAAGCTCCCCTCCCGGGGCATCTCCCTCCCTCCGGAGCAGAACAGCTTCCCACACAGTCTGTCTCTGCAAGGAGAACAAGAGCTGTTAAAACAAGGCCATGGCACAGCAAACCCCCCTCCACCCCCTGAGCTGGTCCCTCCTCCAGCTTGAATTCCAAGGAAACAGCTGCAGGAGGGAACTTGGGTTTGTGGTGGTTGGTGGTTTGAGCAGGTGATGGGTTTTTAATTCCTCTGGAGCTTATCGGGGGGTGATGTGCAGAACTGAGTGTTTAGGTGATATTCCTTAATATTCTGAGGGTCAGATCAGAAAATCCCTTCCCTTCCCTATCCCAAAATCCCTTCCCTGCAGTTTTGTGCACACACACACACACTCATCCTCTCCAGCAGGTCTGCCCACACCTCTGCCCACATTTGATCGTGATCTCCAACTAATTCTCTCAGAACTGGCTTTCCCACAACACCCAGACTGAACAGGAGGGGACACAGGAACATCTAAAACAGGGTGGGCCTGGATTCTGCCTCTTCATTGAAGTAGGAATTGTTTTTCTTCCCGAATCCCAAGCTCTGGAGCTCGGTGCTTACTTTGCCTTGCAGGGGAGGTGGGTGCCCTGCTCCTTCCTGCAGTACCCGTAGTACGCGCCCCGCTCGTTCAGGCGGTAACAGGAGGAGGGACCGTCCGTCGCCTCTGCGAGACAGGAAAAGGCCCTGGAATGAGTCTGGGAGCTCTGCCTGGCAGAACTGAGGATGTTCCATCTCCTCCACCTGCTCAGGAAATGGCCTTGCCCGCTTAATTTGCTGAATGAGCCTCTGGCACTTCAGCCTGGAGAAGGGAAGGCTCCAGAGACAGAGAAGGCTCTCTCTTTCTTTCTCTCTTTCCTTCTCTTTCTCTCTCTTTTCCTCTCTTCCTCTCTTTCCCTCTTTCCATCTCCCTTTCTCTCTCTTTCTACCTTTCCCTCTTTCCCTCTTTCTCTCTCTCTTTCTTTCTCTCTTTCTCCCTTTCCCTCTTTCTCTCTTTCTCTCTCTCTTTCTCTTTCTCTCTCTCTTTCTTTCTTTCTTTCTCTCTCTTTTCCTCTCTTCCTCTCTTTCCCTCTTTCCATCTCCCTTTCTCTCCCTCTCTCTCTTTCTCCCTTTCTCTTTCCCTCTTTCCCTCTTTCTCTCTTTCTCTCTCTTTCCCTCTCTTCCTCTCTTCCTGAGAGACCCTTCCAGTGCCTAAAGGGGCTCCAGGAGAGCTGGAGAGGGACTGGGGACAAGGAATGGAGGGACAGGAAAAGGGGGAATGGTTTTAAACTGAGAGAGAGCAGTTGGAATTAGATATTGGGAAGAAACTCTTCCCTGTGAGGGTGGGGAGGGGCTGGGATGGAATTCCCAGAGAAGCTGTGGCTGCCCCACCCCTGGAAGTGTCCAAGGCCAGGCTGTTCCAACCTGGGCTAGTGGAAGGTGTCCCTGCCCATGGCAGGGGAGGGAATGAGATGATCTTTAAGGTCCTTTCCAACCCAAACCATTCTGTGGTTCTACGAATTCCCGCTGTCAGCAGCCTAAAGACACCAAATTTGGATGTTAATTTGACAGACAGACATTTCCTCTTCCTGTATAGCCAAAAATACTTCCCCACCTCCATTCCAGTTCTCTCAAAATCATTGTGTGAAAGAGGAATCCCTTGCCCACTTCCCATTTCTCTGGAAACACTGCACTGTGTGCTCCGAGCTTTGGCTCATGAGTCACCATCGCTTGCAGTGCGAGACGGGGAAACAATGGTTGTGTGAAATAGAGAAATAATATTTATATCAAATAGAAAAATAGCAGTTATATGAAATATAACAATTATAGGCTAGAAACTAGAGTTTATTTTTATGGATGTGCTATTCCTGATTTACAACAGGTCCTTGAGGATTTGTAGGCACAGCTTCCCCCTCTCTTTCTCTCTTTTTCTCTCTTTCTTTCTTTTTCTATCTTTCTTTCTCTCCTTCTCTCTTTCTTTTCTCCTTCTCTTTCTTTCTTTCTCTTTCCACTTCTCTCTCTCTCTTTCCTTCACTCTTTCTCTTTCTCTCTCTTTTGCTCTCTTCCTCTCTCTCCCTCTTTCCTTCTCCCTTTCTCTCTCTTTCTCTTTTTCTTTCTCTTTCTCTCTTTCTCTCTCTCTCTTTTTCTCTCTCTTTCTCTCTTCCTCTCCTCCCTTCTCCCTTTCTCTTTCTCCCTTTCTCTTCCTCTCTTTCTCTCTCTTTTCGTCTCTTCCTCTCTCTTTTCCTCTCTTCCTCTCTTTCCCTCTTTCCTTCTCCCTTTCTCTCTCTGTCTCCCTTTCTCTTTCCCTCTTTTCCTCTTCCTCTTTCCCTCTTTCCCTCTCTCTCTCCTTTGCCCAAGACACCCCGATTGCAGTCCTGGTGTTACTCACGTGGTCCAAAGGCAGCCTTGCACTGGCTGTCCCTGGTGGGGCACTTGCCCATGTAACAATACCCCTCTCCAAAGCTGCAGGGGTGCCCATTGACCCGGAATCGATCCGTGGGGCAGCTGGCAGAGTTCCCGGAGCACATCTCGGCCAGGTCACAGTCGTCCTTCACTGCCCTGCAAACTGCTCCTGACTTCTTAAACTGAGGGAGGGGAGAGCAAAGCCAGCCTTAGCACAGGGCCCCTCCACAGGGCTGGGAATCACACTCGGCCAGAGCCGGAATTAGGGCAGAAAAATCTCATCCTGGCTGGGCAGGTTGTGTGAGGAGCAGCATCACCCCCAGGGTGGGTGGGCACTGGAACAGGGACAGCACCCAGGGAATGGCTGGAGCTGTGCCAGGGCAGGCTCAGGTTGGATCTCAGGGAAAGGTTCTTCCCCCAGAGGGTGGTTGGCACTGCCCAGGCTCCCCAGGGCAGTGGGCACAGCCCCAAGGCTGCCAGAGCTCCAGGAGGGTTTGGATGGTCCTCTGGGGCACAGGGTGGGACTCTGGGGATGGGCCTGTGCAGGGCTGAGGGTTGGACTGATGGTCCTTGTGGGTCCTTTCCAACTCAGCAGATTCTGGGATTCTGGGACCTGCATCTCCTTTAACATTGGTTATGACACCTGACAAGGAGAAAATGGGTGATCCAAGAGCTCGTTTCTCCAGGATGTTGGAACATTGAGGGAATTGTTTGCTGTGGGGTAGTTTGGGGTGGGCTGGTGAGCAGTGACAGGACCCAGGGAATGGCTGGAGCTGTGCCAGGGCAGGGTCAGGTTGGATCTCAGGAAAAGGTTCTTCCCCCAGAGGGTGGTTGGGCACTGAACAGGCTCCCCAGGGCAGTGGGCACAGCCCCAAGGCTGCCAGAGCTCCAGGAGTGTTTGGACAACACTCTCAGGGACAGGGTGAGACTGTTGGGGTGTCTGTGCAGGGTCAGGAGTTGGACTCTGATCCTTGTGAGCCCCTTCCAGCTCAGGCTATCCCATGACCCCATGATGTGCTGTGTCAGTAAGTCCAAGTGAAGGGGATTGATCCTATGGAAAGCTGTCCCTGCTCTCTCCAGGAAAGGCTGGCTGGGGAGGGGTCTCACCTGGCAGTTCTCACAGCACTCCCCGTGGGCACAGACAGAGCCCGAGGTCAGCTTGCAGGTCTCGGGGTCACAGCAGTCGTTGGTGCACTCCTGGGACAGAACAACAACCAGAGCTCTGGGACCTGCCACCACCCCCTGTCCCGGGCTGGCACGGGGGGCTGGGACCTGCACTTGGCTCCTTGGAAAGCACTTCCCAGGGAGCCATCCCAGCCCTGGGAGGGAGCGTGGGGAGGGCACAGAGCGGGGCTGCTGATCAGAGAATCAGAGAATTATAGAATCACAGAATCACAGAATCAGCTGGGTTGGAAGGGACCTCTGAGATCATCCAGTCCAACCCTTGATCCAACCCCGCCGTGGTTCCCAGCCCATGGCACTGATGCCACATCCAGTCTGTCCTTAAACACCTCCAGGGATGGAGAATCCACCCCTTCCCTGGGCAGCCCATTCCAATGGCTGAGCACCCTCTCTGCAAAGAAATTCTTCCTAATCTCCAACCTAACCCTCCCCTGGCCCAGCTGCAGACCCAGCCCTCTTGTCTTGCTGATGGTTGCCTGGGAAAAGAGACCAACCCCCCCCGGCTCCCCCCTCCTGTCAGGGAGTTGCAGAGAGTGAGGAGGTCTCCCCTGAGCCTCCTCTTCTCCAGGCTGAACAGCCCCAGCTCCCTCAGCCTCTTGTGCTGGTGGAAGTTGGGCAGGGAACTCTCTGGGCTGGTGACGTGGGGGTGGCTCTGTGGGACTCTCAGTTCCCGTGTCCCCAGAGCCCCCCAAACCAAGATTTCCCTCCTCCATCCCCCCACTTGCACACCGCGCTCGGTGACCACAGATCCCACAGAAATCCTTCAGCTGGATTAGAGCTCCCTGCCCCAGGAGGGACAGAAACCAGCCTGACCGAACCCCTTTGCCTTTCCCAAGGGCTCTTTCATTCCCAGGTACCTCCGGAGTGCCACAGTCACACTCCTCTCCCCTCTCCACGAAGCCGTTCCCGCAGGCCGGGGGGGAGACGATGCTGCTCACGTCGGGAATGTCGGTCAGGCACTCGGGCAGGTCGTTCAACAGGAACGTCTCAAAGCTCTGGAGGCTGCAGGAGCTGAATTCCCTGGGAATGAAGGAGCTGTCGGGGGAAATCCAGAGGGTTTACGTTAGGATGGGCATAGGGAAGGAGGAGAAATCCCCTTTGTGAGAGAAATACAGCCAGAGAAACTCACTCGTGAGTTCTCCCTTGTGGGAGAAATCAGCCAAGTGAGCATCCCCAAAACTCAGCTGCAACCATCTCTCCAAATATCTCTACTGAGAAATAAAGAGAGCAGAGGAAAAATAATAAAAAGGAATCATAGAACGAAAAAATATATGAATAAAATGAATAGGGGGGAAACGCACAGAGGAAATTTAAGATACGAAAAATAAAATGTGAAAATAAAACTAAGAAAGAAATCTAGAAGTAAAAAATAAATAATAATAAAATAATAAAATAATAAAGTAAAATGTATATAGAATAAATAGAATAGATATATCTAGAATAAATATAAATAGAATAGATATATCTAGAATAAATATAAATATGAAAGAATATAGATATAAATAGAATAGATAGAATAAATATAAATATAAATAGAATATAGATATAAATAGAATATATAGAGATATAACACACGCACAGACCTCCTACCCCCTCGGTCGCCCCCCCCCCCCCCACCCCCCCCCCCCCCCCCCTCCCCCCCCCCCCCACCCCCCCCCCCCCCCCCCCCGCCACCCCCCCCCCCACGCCCCAGTAGTGTACGAAAGAAGAATATATAAATAGAATATGTAGAGATATATCTATAGAGATGTATCTAGAATAAATATAAATAGGAAAGAATATAGATATAAATAGAATAGATGTAGATAGAATAAATATATCTATATAGAATATAGATATAAATAGAATCTATATAGATATAGATATAAATAGAGTATATAGAGATTATCTATAGAGATATATCTATAGGGATATATATGGAATAAATAGAATAGAGATACAAATAGAATATAGATAGACTATATAGAGATGTCTATATAGATATATCTAGAATAAATAGAATATAGATATAAATAGAATAGAGGTATAAATAGAATATATAGATTATATAGAGAGATATATCTATAGAGATATATATGGAATAAATACAATATAGATGGAATATATATAGATATATCTATATAGGTATATCTAGAAAAAATATAATATAAATATAAATATAAATATAAATATAAATAAAAATATAAAAATAAAAATAAAAATAAAATAAAAATAAAAATAAATATAAATATAAATATATAAAATATAAAAATAAATATAAAAATAAATATAAATATAAATATAAAAATAAAAATAAAATAAAAATAAATATAAAAATAAATATATAAAATATAAATATAAATATAAATATAAATATAAATATAAATATAAATATAAATATAATCTGGGAATATCTTACAACGACCTGAAATATCTTCATTTTTCTCCTTTTTTTTTTTTTTTTAAATATTTCGAATGGCATCATCTCAGAGGCCAAAGCTCTTTTGATTTTTGCTCCAAATCAAATTTTGATTTTGATTTCGGTTTGATTTTTTTTGATTTCGGTTTTTGGCGCCCGGCCCCCTTTCCCCAGCCGCCGTGTGCCCCTGACCTGACGGTGTCTGTCATGATGCAGACGCTGTCCCCGCACGCGCAGGCCCTGGTGTCGTGGCTCATGCCCAGGTTGTGCCCCAGCTCGTGGGCCAGGGTGGCTCCCACGGCGATGACGTTCCCGCTGTGGTCCTGCGGGGACAAGGGCTCGGTGGCAGGGCTTGGGAACAAGGAGAACGGCAGGGAAGGGAATAAAGGGCGCTTTGGATCCCATGGAACTGTGGCACTGCTGCGCCCCGGGGGGCTCCAGCCCTGGGGGCAGCTGTTCTAGAGATCTACAGAGACTGGCTAAAAGGAATAGAAATAGAATATAGATATCTATGGAGATATAGATAGAATAAATAGAATATAGATGTAAATAGAATATGTAGAGATATATCCATAGAGATATAGATAGAATAAATAGAATATAGATATAGATAGAATAGATAGAGATATATCTATAGAGATCTACCTAGAATAAATAGAATAGAGATATAGATAGAATAGATAGAGATATATCTATAGAGATCTACCTAGAATAAATAGAATAGAGATATAGATAGAATAGATAGAGATATATCTATAGAGATGTACCTAGAATAAATAGAATATAGATATAGATAGAATAGATAGAGATATATCTATAGAGATGTACCTAGAATAAATAGAATATAGATATAGATAGAATATATAGAGATATATCTATATAGATGTACCTAGAATAAATAGAATATAGATATAGATAGAATA